CACTTGGATAACGCTCAGGTGAATTTACCTTTAAGTACTCCTGTAACAGGACAATTTTATCATATGTGGAAATGGGTCAGACTAAATTTAGTTTCCTGAATGACCCTTGTTTGGTCCTCCCACAATATATTAAAATCTTCCTCCCATCCAATTAAAAGTATTGTGGTGAAAGAGTCAGCATGTCATGCAATTTCAGGCCTCACATAAAGTCAGTGTGTGGTTGCTTTTTCCATTTCTATAATCTTCTTTCTCTTTCTTTATTGAAAATGAGTTGAAGGCTAGAAGTGATTGTCAGTGTCACCTTCTGTTCCAAAACATCCTATCACCAAAACAGAATAGATTATATCCTGGCCAACATTAGATTCTCCCTTCGGTTTTTATTTCACAATTAGTTCATCTTACCATTATCATGAAGTTTTGAATTTGGGTTTTATTTTTTCCCAATATTTGCAAATTCAGAGTTTGAGTTAGCTCAGATTCAAAAGTACCTTTAAAATTGACACACAGTAGTCCTCCATTCAACAATCATTGCATAGTGACGTTTGTAATTACAACAGCACTGAAAAAAGTGACTGATGATTGTTTTTCACAAGATTGTTGCAGCATCCCCTGGTCACATAATGAAAATTCAAATGGTTGGCAACTGGCTCATATTTATGACGATTGCAATATCCCGGGTCACCTTTGTGACCTTCTGACAAGCAAAGTCAATGGGCAAGCCAGATTTACCTAACAACGTTACTTACCTTGACAACTGTAATGATTCACGTAACAGTGGCAGGAAAGATCATAAATGGGATCATCTTGCTTAGCAGTTGAAAATTTGGCTCAATTGTATTTGTAAGTTGAGGACTACCTGTACTTTATCACCTGTCTTGCTTAACTCAGATTATTTGAAAATAACCTTAAAACAAGTAAGACGGCCAATATTAGGAGCCTATGCAATACTCAAAGGATGAATATGCAGCTGTGTTTCTTCTAAGAATGCATTAGCATTGAAATGGAATTTTCCCACACTCTTTACTATGGAGTAAATCTTAGCTAACAAGCTGACACAACTGCTATCCATCTGAAAACTCTACCCTTGCTAAAAGATGATTCTGCATCGGCAAGGCCTCTCCCAAAATGAAGTCATTATGCTAATGCCTATCTTATCTTTGAACTAAAATCAATAAGCTAAGTGCATGAAAGGAAAGGAAGTTAACAGATCAGAGAAACATTTTTGCTTTTTTTTTGCTGGAATCTGTTTCCTATGGTGAGTGACAGCTGACTTTTATATTTTCTCATATAGTCAAAGTTTTTAAAATAGCTAAGAATGCTAGTGTAAGAAATCGGAACCAATAGGACTAATTTTGTTGCATTTTTGGTCTATGTTTCTGCATACTAAGAAGATCACATTTTAGTATTTCCTTTCTTGTCTAGTTTTTTGTTAACTTTTAACATTTTAATTTCTAATCTTTTAAATGTTTTATTTTATCTTGCTGTCTTATGATTTGTAAATTGCCCACAGTTGCTTGTCTATGAGATGGAGAGCATATAAATTTAATAAATAAATAAAATACTCAAAGAAGAATATGAACGTATACATTTATGTTTATATCTATCTGTATTTGTATAGGATTATAAAATGTTATCTAAGAACCAGAAAATAATTAGGCAATTAGTAAAAATTGGTAATTGGGGCTTTCCCCTCCCAAAGAGCAACATTTTAAAATATATATAATTATTATGGTATTCAATCATCATTTGGGAGATGCTAGTTAAGCATTTCAAGAAATCTTCTGAGGCAGACTTCCGAGGATAAAATACATGAAATTTCCAAAAATATATTAATAATATCTGAAACCTTTAGAGAGTTAAATGACTTAAGAAAATAATACAAAGCTCATTAAAATGTGATCACTATTATGCAGCAGGCTAGCAATAAGAACACTGACATGTCTCCAAACCAAAACAAGTAGTGACAAGGAAAATATCTGAAACTATCATAGATTTTAAAGTTTTCTACATACATTCTACATAATTATTCTATATAATTATTTATTATTATAAAATTTGTAACTTAAAAACCCTGTTAAATTTCTGTAACAATTTAATTAACAAAATAATTTGTTGGGCTGACATATTGTATTAAACCATGATTTCTTAAAACAATTTATAAAACAAACCACAATTGGCTGAGTCCATGCAACACTCTACATCAAAAACTTTTTGGCATTAACAAAGTAGATGTACCACACCAGGATGTGCAGTAGAAAGGTAGGCTTGGAATACAACTCTACCTTCTTTAAAAGAGCTTTTGGCAGTTTGACTTTGTTCATCAGTTGTTGCTGTTTCCAATTGTAGTGTTTTTGTGCTGGATCCTCTGGATTCGGCTGTTGTTACTTTGTGATACCATTTTTCTGTGGGCCTGTTTATAATACAATTGTGTTTTTAACTTGTATTTCAGATGATTTGTCTTTATGAAACGGCAACCTAATTTCTGTCATATGCTGCTTCCAATCCTGTCTAAACAAGTGTGTAATTCCCCTTGTTGAAATTATGTAGCAATAGATAAAATATTCCAAGTGAATACAAACAAATGCAAAGGCAAATTCAGACTCGTCAATTTTTACATATTCATAAGGCAACCAAGCCTAAAACTAGAAGGGAAAATACCTCATCCAGACTATAATTTCCCTAAAAGAATATGCTATCTTGAATAGCATTTGCACCCTAAACTTAGTTAAAGGTAAAGGTTCCCCTCTCACATATGTGTAGTCATTCCCGACTCTAGGGGGTGGTGCTCATCTCTGTTTCAAAGCTGAAGAGCCAGCACTGTCTGAAGAGGTCTCCATGGTCATGTGGCCGGCATGACTAAACACCGAAGGCGCACGGAACGTTGCAAAGGTGGTCCCTATTTTTACTACTTGCATTTTTACATGCTTTCAAACGGCTAGGTTGGCAGAAGCTGGGACAAGTAACAAGAGCTCACTCTGTTACATGGCACTAGGGATTTGAACCGCCAAACTGCCGACCTTTCTGATTGACAAGCTCAGAATCTTAGCCACTGAGCCACCGCATCCCTCAAACCCTAAGCTTAAACACCTCTTAAATTTTTTTTCTGTTTTCAGCTATATCCTGCCAAGGACTCTTCCACAAGAAGTGGTTTGCAAGAAGCAGGAACATTGGATAATCCAAGATGGCTATTCCTTATGATCAGAAGATAGGCATTGGGCACTCTTGCCTTGGACATCTCTTATCTAGTTTCAGAATAGCTTAAATGCTGAATGTACAATGGTCAACTTATCACTTAAACTTATTAATTTTTTTCAAGGCATTTCTTCTCACCAAGGGTCTTAACTAGAATGCCAACCAAAATGCTAAGCAAAATTACAGTGGAAGAATGGAAACATATAGCACAAATCCCATAAATGGGAACTTTATTAAACTAGCAAGATAAACTCAGAAATGTATAAATGGTCCATTAAATACATCCAGTTCATTTGTACATATACTTTTATATAGAAATTTACTTACAGTTTTCAAACAAGTAACATTTAAATTATTTTCTCTTTTTAAGATCACTACCATCAAAAGGTAATAAAAATCCACCACCTGCTTTTGCAGATGAGTATAAAATGATGTAAGTAAAGCCAAAGGGACAGATTACTGCATTTTATCTATGGAGGAAGGAGAACTCAAGAACCTGCTAAAATCAAAAGCAGTGATATCATTCAAAGAGCATTTACCATAAGGAAGTTTGGCCAGACATGCTACTGAAGTGGTGGCTCAACTATACACTTGATGGCATTTTGGCAAACCAGCTGGGGAGAAAAAAAATAATTCAGTCACAGAAAAACACAATATCATCAGCTGAAATTGTAAAATTATTCATTTCAATTGTTCAGTGTCTGGGAAAATTACATAAGACTGATGTACATATAGGAGAAAGAGTGGGAATGTTAAAAATGCTAAAAACATGGCTTGATAACTAACATTATTTGCCCAAATATTAATATTATTATTTGCGTTTTCACAATATTTCATCAATGAATAAAATGGCAGCTGCTTAAATGAAGTGGCTGATCAGCCACTTTCCCTATAAACCTCACCACCCAATATTTATTTGGAAAGGGACCAAGGAGAATGCAAAATATACATTAACAGGTTTTTCCTCATTCTCTGTATCTTAGCCTGACCTGGTGTTGTCTCTCATGCAGTGAACTATTTCTCTAACAATAACATACTAAAACACACACACACACACACACACCTATAAGTGAAGTTTAAAAAGGAGTGTTAAAACCCACACTTGAGGCAAAAGAGCCTTTTGTCATACTTAAAAGAAAATTTGCACATTTCAAGCCTACTTGTTTTTTTTAAAGAAAGTGGCATCAGGAAACTGAAGGCTTTTCCTAACTGGAGAAGCAATTCAAGTAAGTGGCATAGTTAAAAATCAATGGAAACCAGAACTGGTAGGAAAAGTGCTCTGCAAAAGATTACATCCCTTGCAGGTTTCAAGCTGCAGCCTATTTGTGATAGGTATCATAAATATGGCACTTATGTATACCTAAAGCTGGCAAGTTTGCACATGACGGAGACAACCCAAATCAACCATAAACATTTTTCTAACTACCACTTGTGGTTTCTGAGAGCCATAGCTTCCAGCTAACCAACTAATTTCAACACCAATCATTCTTTTTTAATATTCTATTTGTACATGCAAGGCAGCTCTGCTACAATCACGGAGAATAAAAATTCTGCCCAGCAGAGTTTTCCCTCCTTTCAAAAGACACACACACACACACACACACAACTGAAGACATGCTGTACATTCTTTAGATGAAGTTATGGTCACACCACTTCCAAAGCCAGCAGTATTCCATTTTTATCGTTTAGTAGGCCAGAAATTCCATGTGTCCAATTGCCAGCAATGGACTCTGCAATAGACACAATTATTCTTGAACTCAAAGTGTTTAAAATGATCGGTGTGTATTTTTTGTACTTTTTGCAAAAAAAAAAAAAAAAGTTCAGGTCTGCATTCTCAGAAAAGCAGTGACAATACAACTGGCCATAATTCCTAATTCTGAATTCCCTGCCTTTCATTGCATGAAAGAATTTGTTAGCACAACCATCCCCAACTTTGCAATATTTTTTACTTGTAATTAACTCTAGTTTATCTTATCTCAAGCCAGCTAACTTGGAGATGAGGTCTTGTCAGGCAGAACACTAGGAAATCAGTTTTAGCATGCTAAATTCCTGAAAAGCTACTCTCTCCCCAAGACAAGGGATCTTAGTTACAGCTATTCCATCACAGTAGTTTTGAAATACATTCAATTCAGGCATCCCTCAGGATTCGCACAAGGTACCTTAGTTTCTATCGAATAACAAAATACAGCATGTTTGTTTAGAATCTTTCATAACAAAAATAGTTAGCATTGAGAAACCTGGTTTTCACTTTCCATATTGCCAAATGATACAAATGCTTTTATGTTTTAGAAGTGATTGAATAGTTTCCCAATTGTAGTTTGACTCCCATCTTTGCATTTAAAGGATCCTGATTTTTCCATTATTTGTTCCCCTGGCGCAGAGTCTGCTTTAACACTAAGAAGGTCACTGTTGTCAGTGTTTCTTTTGATAATTTTAGCACTGTTGGCTCTTTTCAGTGTGCCACCATTTTCCTTTGGGTTAAAATCATCAGAGGCGGCTGTTACTTTCATTCGAGGTAGTCTTTGAGACAAAGACCTTGTGAGAGGTGGGGCTCTGGAAGGAGGGGGCAAATCCACCTTTGCGCATTTTGACGAAGAGGCCACTGTGTTTCTTGCAAAACTCGGAACAGGAGCTGGTGCCTTGGGAGCTGTGGCAGATGTGCTTTTGTTAGCATCCACAGGGCCCTGAGATTTGTTCAAGGAGCGGCACATTTTTGTTTCATCAGTTTTTGACTTGGGGACATATCTGACGGGTTTGCAACTGGGCTTTTTAAAAGAGCCTTTGTGCTGAAGCTGCTCCTTCTCACAATGGCCACTGCTTGAATTTGAAGTTCCATGCTGAAATTTTGGCTCTTCTACTGATATACTCTGCCGATAGGGAGGTTTTGGCGCTGCGTCTACAATACCCCGGACGGAGTTACGACGTGACAGACGTGTTTCAGCTACAGCCGTGTCTCGAGATGCAGGCTTGGCCTCTGGTTTTTTGGGGCAACTAGGAGATGCTGGTTTAGTGGACCTAGAAATGGGTACAACTTTTCTCATGCTTGCATTTTCTGATGAATTCAGAGTTCTCACAGGTCTGGGATGATTTGGAGAGGCAGTGCTGGGTTTTGTGGTACCTGAAGTTTTGTCTTTCAAGGAATTTCTCTTTGGTCCTAATGAGTCTTTGCTCCTTACTGATTTCTCCTTTGGAAAACTAGACTTATTGCTGCAGTCAGATTTATCATTAGAAAAGATGGCATTTTCACCAGTTTGCAGTTCATTCATATAAGAGGAGTTAGCACCATTTTTGTTATCTATTTTATTGCCACCTAACTTCGAACTTTGATCTTCTGAGAGATCAAGTGTCAATGAACATTCAAAATCTGATTCAAAGAAAACTGGTCCTTGAGTTTTAGTTCCTGAAATGCTACCATCTGAAGAGATGGGGCTATCATTATCAGGTTCCAGAGCTTCATTAACGTAACTCATCGTTTTGGCAGAGTGTTCAATTGTATAATGAGTCTTTTCTCTATTGGATGGATCTCCTGTAATGCCAGGAGAGTGTAATGGACCATCTTGAGCATCCAAGCCTTGCATTCCAGCCACAAAATGAACTGGAGATGAATCCTCTACATCATTTGTTTCATGAGAGTCAAACCTATGCAGTCTTGGAATATGTTCATGTTCTTCCATAGATAGATCCCAAGGAACTGCATCGCCGGATTCTACACAAGGCACATTAAACCCATACTTGTCATTATTTGACCTCTCTTGATTGCTATAGAGGTTATCATGGGAAGCATCTTCTACATGTTGAGCCTGAGATGGGAAAAACTGGTAACTGTGGACCTTGTTTTTGGAAACTTGGTCTAAGTGCAAATGAGTGAAACTGACATCCACAGGCTCCTTATTTTCTGACCATGCTACATTTGGTCTTGTTGGAAAAGGATGTTCACGAGGGAGGCTGTTAAACTTGTTCAGATCTTCTCCTTTTGAGGTACTCAGGAAAGTAAAGAGTTCTCTTTCTGCAGTCACGCCCAAGGAATGTCGAGAGCGTCTTGTGCTGGTATTTCTGTAAGAAGGACTTTGGGGTCTTTGTTGCAAAAAGGGTAAAAACTCTTCAAGTCCGCGCTTTGTTAGTGCACCAACATCATTTTCACTACTGCTCCTGCCAAAAGCACTGATATCCGCAGCAACCCACGACCGGCGTTTGTCCTCCAGCTCTTTAAGTCGCTGTAGCTGCTGAAGTTGTTGAACCTCTCTTTCTTTGTTTTCCTGTTCAGAAAATACATATTTATAATCATGGAATTAATTACTTATTTACATTGAATTTTCCCTTATATTAATCCTCTTTACCTGTACCCCATCTTTAGCCTTGATTTTTTTAAAAAACAAAGTAGCACTGTAATAATTTTCTGTCAGAATATGAAATGGAGTAATAAATATTTTTCGAATGCCTCATTGCAAGTACATAGGCCTAACTACAAGTGGCTTATTATATGCTCCTCAAATTTTATTCCATTATGCTCAAACATTCTTTAAACATTCGACTCAGTCATAATATTGTCCAGAATTCTAAAGTTGTCATTTAATGTATTAGGAAAACATAAGCAAACCAGTCAAAACAAACAGTAAAATTCATGTCCAGATTTGAATATGTTTTCTATGAATGTAAGCACATTTTAAGTACAAGGTAGGATAATGAACCATAGTTCAGTATGCTTAGCATTATTCCCATATTGTTTTCTTTTATAAAGCATTTAAATGCTTTTAATGTGGTACGGCGATGTGATTCTTGCCTTTTTAAAAAATCTGGGTTTTCTGTGCCATAAAAACACTGCAATGAAAACCATCACTTGCAAGTAAAACAATGCTCATCCACCAGTCTACACTTCACACAAACCAGATTGGAAAGAATTGATAATTCTCATGTACCTGCAGGTTTGGTAGTAGTCATCTGGGCATTCACACATGTGATTACATATTTGCACATTTAAAATCTTCTACAGCTTATAAAAACACCTGATATAAGTTTTATTCCACACATATAATTCCCATTGAACCCCTTCAGATTCTAAGACTGAAACAGAAGATCTGAGAGATCTTTTGAAACCAAGTCAGTTGGAGGATGAAATGTGTGAATGCACATATAACCATTTGAAGAACTGTAATTCTTCATCATTACACAGACATAGGCAAGTGTCTTGCTTGAAAGGGAGTTTTGTTGCCATAAGGTAAATGAAGAGAGGGCTGCTTTCAAGAGACTGTTACCCTTGAGATCAAAGATGCAACCTATAATACTGGATAATGAAGGAGAATAAGTCCATGTATCCATGTACCATAAAGAGAACACCCTAGAAGAATATTTCTGATGTTGACATTGTGTTAAGAACCAATTTTGGATAGTTGGTTATGATTACCATTTGGAAAATAATGAGGCAAAAGTTCAGAGTATTTTAAACAAGGACCATTAAAAGGTGTGAGAACATTTCCATATTATTCAGTATAGGTATGACAGACCTCTGATGAATAAAATTATGCTTCCAAAGGAGATTAGAGTTTTGTAAAAGGCAGACAGTGTTATGTCTAATTTAACCAAAAAGCAGAAGTTGATTTTGGAAGGAATGAAATAAATAGATTAAGGACTGATTGTTCAATATAACTATATAATATTAAATAAGATAAACTGGTAGCTATATGATTAGTGGGTTCTGACACTAACATTGAGAATGAAAAAGCAGCTCCATGTCAGAAGAAGAAGGGCAGCTGGAAGATAGAAAAATGGTGGGTTGCAGGCGATACGCCCTGGTACGGGCATACCAGAGTCTCCCCGGAGCACCGGGTACTGTTCCGGTATGGTGCTCTGGAGGGTCCACCCGAACTCCTTACCTGTCCTTTAAAGCCTTCAGCGCTTCCGCACGCGCCCTGTGTGACGCTCCGCTGAGCAGCTGGAGTGTCGCAGAGGCTTGCGGAGGCGTCACTGGCAGGTATGATGCATACACGTGCTGCGTACATGCGCATGCGTGTGCGCTGCACACATTCATGTGAGTGACACCAGGCCCGTCCAACCACTGGGATAGAACTATGCTAAGCTTTTCACCAAGCATTAAAATCTGGGAGTTTAAAAAAAACCTCATTACTAATTTTTAAAAAAATAGCAACCAAGTATATATTTTACTGATGGAAAAGCCAAACTGTTGTTCTACTTAGGGAAGAAAAGCCAAGATATCCCATGCTATTGTAAAAGGTTCATCTGCTGTCTAGGAATGATGTCTACAAAAATTCCCAGGAAACCCTGGTGGAAATGTTACAAGATGGCAGTAGAACTTGTTCAATCTCACCACAGTGGGATTGCAAAAGTAAACCCTCTAAACTGAAAAGAGGAGGAAATAAAATCTGGTAGAAGACTTGGCCTTGACAGTGAATTACAGGCCAGGGCAGTTTGGCAAATGGAGCTACTCTTAAAAGGTGACAAGAAACAATAGGGTGAACCAAGATTGTCAGAATCACTAAAGTGTGGCAAGAATTTATTTTGACTTGCTGATTTTTGCCAGGACTCTAGTCAGCATGAGAAATATCAGAAACATATAATATGGATCTGGCCTTGCCAGGTGGGTGGAAAATACTGAAAATGGAATTAGTGATGTGTCACAGAATATCTGTAGCATCAGGTACAGAAAAGGGGCATATTTTGTGCTATCTTGATTGTTTTTGTACAGGACTGCTACAGAACTGTCTCATATAATCTACAAAGTGTGGCTCTAGAGGACAGAAGATCCTTGAAGGAAAAGGCAGAAGGCCTAATTAATGAAAACGTGAGGTAAATAGGGTATAAGACCCTTCTCCAAGACCCTTTGAGAAAACATTTCAGACAAGCCCTGAAGGTAAGCTAAGGTAGCAGGGTCATCAGTGCAGTCAATTAGAAGGGAACATTTAACTGTAAGCTGCTCAGAGTCATAAGGACCTGGGTAGCCCATTAATGGAATAAATATATCATTCCTGCAGTGCTGACAGGATCCTAAAGCCAAAGGCTGAATATCCACATCAATAAAAGACAGCCAATCTTCCTGTATCCATGAGAGTTGAGATCATGAGTAGCAATGAAACAAAGTAAATAAAATAAAATTATAATTTAAACAAGTCTGAGGGAACAAGCTCAAAGGTGAATGTATTACTGCTCTGGAGGTCAAGAATAAACAAATAGCGTTCAGCAGGAACTATGCCAAGGACCACATGAGAAACGTTTTGCAGGGCTACCACCAAACAAATGTCTATAAATTTTAGAATGTTCAGATACCTGCCCAGGTATTAGCAAGTGTTTAGCTATTATCAGCAATATACATAAGGTAATATATTTTAATACATTTTCTGTATTTTTCAGTGTATAAGACGCACCCCCCCCCAAAAAAAGTGGTTCGAAATGTCTGTGTGTCCTATAGAGCAAATGTTGCTAAAGCCCCGTCCATCCTCTGCCTCCCAGCAATTTGCCTCTTTGCAACAAAAAGCAAACAGCCTGGTCATCTTCAGCATAGCTGATTTAGCACAGCTGATTGGTGGTTGGATCTGCCTCCTGGAATGCTGCTGATCAGCTGTTCAGGCTGTGGGGATCACCACCCATTGCTGCTGCTCATTGCCACCTCTGCTTCCACATGCCCCATTTTTGGCCTCCATAAGTCCCATTTTCAGCCCATTCTAGGCAGCAGGGATAGGCGCCACCACCGCCTGGAATGGGCCAAAAACGGGGCATGGGGAGGCCAAAAATGGAGCACACAGAGGCGGCGATATTGATAGGTGGTATTGTGAGAAGCCAATCCAACTGCCAATCAGCTGCTCATGCTAAATTAGGCTGTGCTGAAGATGACCAGGCTGTTTGCTGTTTGCTGCAAGGAGCAAATTGCTGGGAGGCAGGGGCAGATTTTTTTTCTTGTTTTCCTCCCCAAAAGCTAGGTGCATCTTACAGTCCTGAGTGTCTTATAGTCTGAAAAATATAGTATATCCTTGGCCTTTCAAGCAATGCCTCTGAATTCACATCTCATATCTCAGTGATTGGAGGTCATGGGAATCTAGATAGGGGGAAACAGGCTCAAGCTCAACCCCAAGAAAACTGAGTGAATGATGATTTTAGGATCACTTGTAAATAATTTCTAATTCTGGAGGGGGATATACTGCCATAGACAGATACAAACTGCAATATGGGGGTTTCCTTAAAAATGGCTCCTGATTGAAGAATAGGCAATAGCTGTAATCGTGAAAACCTTTGCATAAATTTATCTTGTATGCCAGTTGTGCCCATTCGAGGGCCACAAGGTCTTACTCAAGTCAGTGTGTCCATAGAGTAACAAAGATGATTATGGGACTGGAGATTGAAACATATAAAAAATATTAATGAAAAGAAGGACTAGGGGAGATATGATAGCAGTGTTCCAATTACTCAGGAGTTGCCACAAAGTAGAGGGAGTCAAGCTATTCTCCAAAGCACCTGAGGGCAGGACAAGAAGCAATGGATGGAAACTAATAAAGGAGTGAAGCAACCTAGAACTAAGAAATTTCCTGACAGTTAGAACAATTAATCAGTGGAAAGTCTCCAGAAGTTGTGAATGCTCCAACACTGGAAGGTTTTAGACAGAGACTGGACAACCATTTGTCTGAAATTAGGGTTTCCTGCCTGAACAGAGGGTTGGATTAAAAGACCTGCAATGTCTCTTCCAACTCTGTTATTCTATTCTATTCTAACTAACAAGTAACAAAAATCAATTGTAATAATAGAGCTAACATTCAAGCATGTCTTCAGGATTGCTACTATATAGAAATAATCTATAGGAAAATAGAAGTAGAATTAGTTCTACATCAGTTGCTTAGAATAGCAAAATAGCATCAAAAGTCCTTCTAACTCTCTATTCCAGGGGTGTCAAATTCAAGGCCCGGGGCTCCATTTTCACTGGCAGAGGGTTGCAGGAGGCCCTGGCAGTTGAAAACGGAGCCCGGGAGCCTGTTTTAGCTGGTAGAACACTCGGGCCACCACAGGTGCTGACAGGAGTGATGTTGACCTGGTCACACCCACACAACCCTGATGCAGCCCTCAATGAAATTGAGTTTGACACCTCTATTCCATTCCATTCCACTCCACTCTATATAATACTCAATGACCTGCTGGTTATCATATATTCCCAGCATGTGTTTGAAGATGTTGATTGTGACCTACAACACCTTTCTCCCATTACCTCTGCCTGTCTGATAAGATAAGGGTTGGCATGCTCCAGGTCCCATCATGTAAGACTCCCATCTTGCCTTGTTTACTGCTGTACTTGCTGCAAGGTACTGCTTCACCCAAAGCATCCAGATGGCCACAATCCTATCTCCCTTATGGAAAGCCATGAATCCCTGGCTTTTCTTCCAGGAACTAGGTAGGGAGTTTTTGTGATTAAATAACAGAATTAGAAGGGACTTTGGAGGAAACCCTAATTCTAATCAGAAGAGGGCAGGCAAACACAGGTGAGAGAACAGAGACCATGGCTCCCTGGTAACTCCAAAGGGTGTCATACATTATTTGACTCAAAGGATAACCTGAGATCACCTAGTAATAAAACAGCGTTATCACTTAAGGCCAAAAGATATTACTGAGTTTTGGAGTTGTTGTTACCTTAACAGCTTTGTTGAATTTTAAACAAAAATCTCGAAAGATCTGAAAGCACTCTTCCAGTTTCATAGTTTCTTTGTCTTCACACAAAAAGTCTATAAGGGCGTGTGCTTCTTTCATCAGCTCTCGTTTCCAATGGTCGAGTTCTTTTAATTCTTTAACAGCAAACTTTAAATAAAAGCAAAATACATTAATGGTTTATTTTTTACACGCTATGCATGCAGTTGCTAATCTCAGAACCAGTGAAGTCCAGAGTGTCATCTGTAGCAAAAGACTATAGACTACAGCACTGGCACAGCAGTTGCTGTGCTCACCTTGGTCTACTTATAACTTTTTATCCTTCCGGTCAAACAGGTTTTGCAGGTTGGTGTTTTTTTTTAAAAAAAAAAGTATGGCACAAACCTGCGATACAAGTTTATACAAAACAGTAGTAGAACGAGTGGGCATTTCATGGACAATAATATCATTATGCCACCAGCATTCAACATTCAGAAATTAATCAAACATATTATAACTCTCTTCACAAAACACAGATTCCCAAAGAGCTGCCTTCCCCTTAGTTCAGTGAAATGATAAAGAGAGGAGAAAATCCCTAACCACTGAGCAATAAACCCATGAAATAAGCAATAAATATATTGTATCTTGCCATATAAATTTTTTTTTTTATTAAAAGCACTAGTCTTGTGTTACAGAATATTTATCTATGAAAGGAATGGACATTATTTTCCAGGCAAATATTTCATTTTATCTACATTGATGCAGAAGATATCCAACCATGAAATCTCATCTGAAATTATCCCTGAAGAGTATAAACAGAGAACACACTCCTATATATATCAAGAGCTTCAGCATCAGTTCTTATGATTAATATAGCCCTTTGCAACACTGGGTTTCAAACTCAGATCCAATTTATCAGACAACCAGTAATAGATATTTGTTTAAGGTAAGGTAAAGGTTCCCTTCGCACATGTGCTAGTCGTTCCTGACTCTAGGGGGCGGTGCTCATCTTCGTTTCAAAGCCAAAGAGTCAGGGCTGTCCGAAGACGTCTCCGTGGTTATGTGGCCGGCATGACTAAACACCAAAGGTGCACGGAGCACTGTTAACTTCCCACCAAAGGTGGTCCCTACTTTTCTACTTGCATTTTTTACATACTTTCGAACTGCTAGGTTGGCAGAAGCTGGGACAAGTAATGGGGGTTCACTCCATTACTCAGCACTAGGGATTCAAACCGCCAAACTGCCGACCTTTCTCATCAACAAGCTCAGGATCTTAGCCACTGATTAAGATGCTGCAATCATGCATTTCAAGAAAATTAAACTGGAACTTTTCCAATTTCTTTTATTATTTTTTTCTTTTTAAAAAACTTTTAACAGAAATGAAGAACTTCCATTCCATTCAGAACTTCAATTCATTCCCTAAAAGAGCATTTTAAAAAAATGTGCTGCCAGTGCTAGAGGTATATTAAGCTTTATTTTCCTGATGACTTTGCTTACAAAATGAAAGGGAAAGCCTGAAGGTTAAAAGGCATGGAGATATATAAATACTGTTCTAAGAAAGGTAGATTATCTTAAAGTCATCAGTTATCCAAAAATGAAAAAAAGCTATTTCGCTCAGCAAAGCAGTTATGAAGATAAAGAAGGAGTATGAAAAATTGGCTCCACCTTTCTTATAAGGTAGGTTGTTTCTGAGTCATAATGAGAGAAGATTTTTAAATCAGGTTATTCATTTGGCATTTTTAGTAAAGATTATATTAGATGCATTTTTAAAATAAAGGGAGATCCAAACCTGGAATTAGTCTAATTAAAATTAATATGAAAATTATATGTCTGTTGCCTCAAATTTTAGGCTTCACTATTAGCATTTTAAAAGGTGATATTATCACCTTTAATATTGCAGTCTAGGCCGCTTTTTAACATCATGTATTTTTCTTCTAGGTCAAGGCTATTTATTTTTGTATGCAAAAACTCAACTTTTCAGTACTAAACAATAAATAGTGTATTCTGAAAGTCCTTGAATACACTTGCAAATTTTAAGAAAGATACAAAGTCGGCTGGAAAAGAATAATGTAACCCATAAATTTGCTTCGAATGTTATCTAGAATCAACATTTTCTATTGTTCAAGTCTCACATGTAATCAATCTCTTTTATTGTTTGATTGCTTGCTTTCTGACCTATTACATATACTGAATATACAGTATGCTTGGTCTCTTTCTCTACTTTATAAAGAGACTTTGCCTGTATTACTTAGTGATTCACACTTCTGTGTGGGGAAAAGTCTCTTCAATTCAGGGATCAAGTTCTTATCAGCCACATGTCAAATTCAGGATGCCAACAAAAGATTAACAAGGACATTAGGAAAACTTAAACATTTCTCAATACTGAATAGGCGATACAAAATCATTTGTAGTAATAACTATTACCAATGAATTACAGGAGTATGTAATGACAGTTGGCACCTGTCATCAATGTAAACTATGATACCTAATACGGTATTCAAAGGCTAAACAATAAATAGTCAATTTAGATAGGTTTGACACATGTATCTTTTCTGTGCTTCATATAATTGCATTTGTTGCGTATAATGTTCAGATATAGATGGTAACGCCTACTTAAAGCTTTTGTCTTAAAATCTCATGTGTTGTGGGAGCTTCATCACTTGAGACTTTCAAGAAGAGATTGGACTGCCATTTGTCAGAAATGGTGTAGGGTCTTCCTGCTTGAGTGGAGGGTTGGACTAGATGACCTATAAGGTCTCTTCCAACTCTGTTAATCTATTAAATCTGGTGATATTACAGTTTAGTGCTATTATAGTTGGGGACCCAATTTTGTGACCATTTTTACTGCAGTTAAGTGAATCCAGCTTTCCCAATTGACTGCTTTTTAGAAAGGGAAGCAGGGAAGGTTGCAAATCATTAATTTGATAAAACCAAACTTCACTCTAAATGATTTCCCATTTATCCACTCTATAATGATAGGTATTGCCAACTTTTTAAATTTTTACTTTCTCATAATTTAGAATACTTTCAGAATCTTTATTTAGTGTGCATATTTAGTGTGTTATGTGAAACTAACTTAATGTAAACACCACCCAAGACGTGAATATAGGCCTCTTATTGGACTTACACAACAATGGGTGTTTCAATTAACTAGAGGTAGTCTTCTACTTATGACCATTCATGACAATCTCAGAAAAAGTTAGTTATGACCTGTTTTCAGTTACAACTGTTGTATAACCCCCCATAGTCACAATTTTAGTGTTTGGCAAATGGTTCACATTTATGATGATTGCAACATCTTGTGTGCATGTGGTCATGGTTTTGCAACCTTTCCTGAGTCCCTTTGCCAAGCAGCAAAGTCAATTGGGAAAGCTGGATTCACTTAACAACTACAGAAAAATTGTCATATAATTATGTCCCTAACTATAATATCACTAGATATCATAGGATCTTAATTAAGACAAAGGCTCTAAGTAGGTATTGCCTTATATATCTGAGCATTGTAAGCAACAAATGCAATTATATGAAGGACAGAAAAGACACATAAGAGTCAAACCTATCCAATGTAAATGCTAATAGTTTTAGTAGCTATTACCCATAAAACAGCAAAACAAAGCATTTATAAAATGCTATTCATAAAAAGTTATAGACTAAAAGCAGTGCTTCATTCTCCTAGAAGTAGATTAATTCTTTATCTCAGAAAGCTTCATTCTATAAGACTAATCTGAGAAGCATGATGTCAATTGTAAAAATATTTGAGTTTATAAAATCCAGTAGGACATCAAACTGATTGAGTATATTAATGACTATTAGAAAACACATCTTATCTGAGACACATTAGGGTAGCATGCCTCTAATTACTAATTTACAAAACCAATAAGATGGTAATTCCTGTTGTTCAACCATTCTGTCCTTTCTATACAAATAATGAATAAAATACTAAACAGACTTTTAAAAACCAAACATTTAAAATAGTCTATAATGGAAAAACTTCTAACAAATAAAACCTGGGATTGTGAGAAAGAATGCTTTGATCATCAGTATAAAGGCAAACAGATAGGTTCAATTGCCTTAAGCATTATACTACTTGGCTTTCATCAAATCGAAACAGTGGTGCAATTAAATGTTTCTATTGAGTTTCAGACTACATCAGCTCAAAGCTACTGAAAAAAGCACAAATGTCATCTTCCATACTGAAGTGGTAATATTTGTTAAGAAAAGAAGCCTTTTAAAAGCATTATTTTTTCCGCAAGCAGAGGAAAGTGGGTGGGCAGGAAATACCATTGATCAATCAGTTAGCACTGCTTAAATAATAGGCAATTGACACAACCATTTCACACAAATTAAGAAAGCATACCCTTGCAGGACAACAATGAACAATTAAGTTGCTTTGATTGTGAAAAGCAACCTCTTAAAATGCCTACAGAATTTTAGCAAGATTATCACTGAAAAGGGTTTTTAAGAGAAACAAGGGGTTTATTATCTGTTAAGCACACCAGCTGAATTTTAATTATGCCGCTCAATGTATATGTGTCTAAAGAACAGACATATGAAGCATCTGCAACAAACCTGAAGAAATCCTTCCATCTGCCGAAAGAGTTCTGTGTCCCGGCGAATACTATCCTTTAGAGATTTGGTCTTTGATGACAGGGAGTGAAGTTCAGTTTCAATATTTTCTAGGGATATCCTGCAGAAAAAACAGTAATTTCAATTTACTTTGGAAAAGAGCATTTCCCCATTGAAATGTGAACACCTAAAACATACTATTTCCTAATAGCACCCATTAGTGAACAGACAGAATCTAATTAAGCAAATCATCAGTCAACATTAAGTTGCCCCATGACGTTCACAACACAAGTCAATGTATTTGCATTAATGCAGTATGAGTGTTCTGATTCTTAAGTGGAAGGATACAGTGATGGCAAGCTGTTAAATAATATGATTGTTACGCTAAACCTAATTTCAATCAGTCCATCCAATTGGTTAATAAATATAACCCAGTAAACTTTAGTAAGTTGACTGCCACAAAAAGCCCCCTTAAAAAATAGCTGCATTCAACCTGTTAAACAGGAAAGCTGCGTATTTCATTCTTTTTGCTGTGAAAATGATAGTAAATATAGTAAATATTTCCTTAGATCTCAAATTTTCATGCCCAAACCCAGCATACCAATTTAAATGAAGAAAATAAGCCAATGTTTATAGTTTTCTTACTTACCTTGCTGCCTCATGAACATGGTGCAATTTTTCTGAAAAGGTTAGAAGAACTTTATCTTTCTTTTGGGCTTCCTGAAACAGACAAAAACCCCAGTAACATTTCATTCCATTCAACAGCAATCAATGTGGATGTTTTGCCACAGCAGTTAAGACGTTTCCTGCTTTAAACCTGTGGACTGTGGTTTCCAAAACCTAATTTAAGAAAACTGATAAGGTTGGCTCTTAATTGTGGACATTTTTAGAAAGAATGAGTATATTCTACCACTGAATGCAATCATTTTGCAGTAGGGAAGACCATTAGATAAAGGCCGCATACTAATGCCTTTTCTGAAATGAAAACAGTTACCGGTAATCCTGTATTTGGATTTTCGACCACAATTGAGCCCAAGATTTCTGTTGCTAAGATAGTTGTTAAGTGAATTTTACCCCATTTTAAGACCTGTCTTGCAACAGTTGTTAAGTGAATCACTGCAGTTGTTACAATTGTTAAAGTGAACCTGGCTTCACCATTGATTTTGCTTATCAGAAGGTTGCAAAAGATGATCACATGACCCCCTCCCAGACACTACAACCATCATAAATATGAGTAAGTTGCCAAGCGTCTGAATTTTGATCACGTGACTATGATATTGCTGCAATGATCATAAGAATGAAAAACATAATAAGTTGCCACTGTAATTTTAAATGGTCACTAAATGAACTATCGTAAATTGAGGACTGTCTTTATAACATTTCCTGCTTAATATCTTTTTTTGTCCTCCTCCTGGGCATTTCAAATTAGCTGTTAAACCAGTGTGCAGGGAAATATTAACAAAATCACTAAAACAAATGCTAAATTTTAGATTCTCAGGAGCATATAGCAAACTGAGCAAGGATTAGGAAAAACAATTTGCTCCTCAACTCTGCACCCCCTATCCGTCCCATAATATCCTATCCATTACCTATTCCTTCTGCTTAGATGTCTATAGTCTGTTATCTCAGAAAAGGCAATTTACATACCAAAGCAACAAAATGAAGCAGATTCATCCCAGGCCTGTTTGCTTTTGTATCTGCCAACTTGAGTAATGAGGATAGCTTGAAGCCAACTGCATTGCCAGCGAAGCCTCCCTATGTAGAAGAGCGGAAGGGGAGGCAGAAGAGATATGGGAGGTCAATCCACAATGCTTGAAATTCTTTGCCCTACTTGCCATCTGCAAAGAGGCTAATCCACTTACTGCATTCATAATATTCCCAGCTTGAAGCACCAAGTGTAATATGGCATGCAACTCTTCACAGCACATCAGCTCTAGAAAAAGACACAAGAAATATTATCCAAGTGGCATTTGTTTAGTATGTGTGTGTGTATGTACATATATACATACACAAACACACATACATACATACATACATACATACATACATACATATTGCACATCGAATTTATCTTATTTTTCTTAGAGGAAGCTATAGTAAAAGTTTGGAGCTTAATTTAGGGCGGATAAAAATCTAATTCTTGGGCAAAAATAAATGTAATAAGCGTTTGCTTTTTTAGCTGGAGCTAAGGAAAACCTTATCAGCTGCCTTCTTTGGTTGATCCTTGGCTAATAGTTTTTCTTTAAAGTTTCTTCTGAACTCTGAGATTGTATTCTATAAGATGGACTTCTGCACAGCAGACAAGAATCTTCTTTGCTACAGCTTATGCCATTTAATAGGTTCCTCTAAATATGAGACTTTGGGGGTGGGGATATTGGAAGGTTCTATGGAAATGAAATGGGTAACTCATCTTCATTTTGATATTTTATTTGATAATGTGACCACAGTATTCTTTTAAACCACTTGTGGTGGTTGGGAGTGGGAAGCACTATGCTCCAGTGGTTCCTCTCCTTGGTTGATGGTGGAAAGATGGGAGACACACATTCATGGACCCTCATGTCAGGATGACTCATGACTCAATGTTCTCCTCTTTCCTTTTCAACATTTACATGAAACTACTGGGTGAAGTCTTCCACCAGTCCAGGGTGTGGTATCATTAGTATGTATGGTAATAATACCAAGTTCTACATCTCAACTCCCGGATAGCAGAGGTGAAGCATTTAATACCTTGACCCAGTGCCGGAAGCTGTTAAGGTCTGTATGGGGTGGAACAGATTTCAGTTCCGTCCTAACAGGGCTGAGTAGCTGTGGTTGTTTGGAAACCCCTCCTCCCACCAGGTCAAGAACATTAACATCTTTGGGTCTTGGATAGTGCTGTATTTCCCCACTCAATAGTGGTGTGCAACTCAGGGGTCCTGGCTGAACAGCTACTGCTCAAAGAACAAGTGGCAGCTGTGGTTAGGAGGCCCTTTGCACAGTTGAGGCGGCCCTTTCCTCAAACAGGAGAACCATCAGAAAATCATTCATGCCATGGTCATTTTCCATGCCTGGATTATTGCAGTATACTCTATATGAGACTTCCCTTAAAGATCACACAAAAGCACCAACATGCAAGCAGTGCCCTTCAATGTGTTCATGTGTTGTCACTGTTATGTGGTTAGCTTCTAAAAGCAATTCAAGGTGCTGATTGTTACCTATAAAGCCTTGTATGCATAGGGCCTAGATATCTGACAGACTGCCTATCTCCAATTGTTTTTATCTGCCCCGTACATTCCCATCAGAGTGGGTGGACTCCAGGTCCCCTGTATTAAGTACTTGTATCTTGTAGATCCTAGGAAGCATACCTTTTCTCTTGCAGCCTCTACTCTCTGGAACATCCCTCTTCCAGAAATTAAGATGGCACCTAATAGGGATATGGGGTTCCAGAAAGCCTTACAAACCTGGCTTTGGTTCCAGAGCTCAGGTGATGCTTTTGTTAGGAAGGATTTTTTAATCTGGACTGGCTGTTAATTTAATGTTCTTGCTGTTTTTATTTTATTTTAATTATATTTAGTTCAGTAAATCCCTAGAGTTCACTGGAGATGGGTGCTAATACATTTTTAAAAATAATAAATTTAAGTAATTATAATTTTGCATCTTTTTCTTTGGAACCACGTATATGTTTCCACAAACGGGGCAAGACAGTTCCTCAAATGCCCTGGTCTCATGCGAAGAAGGGCTTTAAAGGTGATAACAACACCTTGAAGTGAGCTAAACTAAAAATCCTAAACTGCCACAATTTGATAATCCTCATCAAAGAAGGAAGTTTCAGCTAAGTGTAGCAAGTTGCACCAGTTCATTTCCATGAACACAGCCACTGTTTTATGTTTGTGAAGTGCTTTTCATTCGTGGCATGGATTAAAAGATTTTGGCAGAACTTGAAATGTAACCACCTACACTGCAAATCAAAGTCACTGGAAAATTAAAAAAGGAAGTGAAATATGGGCCATGTGTTGGAAACTGAAAGAAAATCTAATAACTAGAAAGTATCATTTAGATGTTTCTGCATGGCTAATGGACAGACAGAATCATTCCTCAGGCCAATAAAAGTCCAAGTAGCACAACAGATTTAAGCCAGGGTAAGTAATTTTGCCAATCAGCAGCAGAGATAAGAGAAATGCAATATGATTAGATCTTAAGAATCAATGGGTGGTTTTATATATTTTTCTAATTCATACTGTGATTTATATGATGCAAGATTTGGCAATCGCTGTGATTTGCAAACTATAGTTTAGCTGTTTGGGAATCCAGCTTCTTTTAAGTTATTCACTATCAGCACTAGGAAGCCATGTCATAAAGTTATTCAATAAACCATGACTAAACATACTGCAGGTTTAGTATTAGTCTAAAATCAGTGACTACCTATCTGCACAATGCAATGATTTTCATTCAATAAATTAAGCACCATTACTCAGTCATAATAGCATTACAACAATGAATAATGCATAAAGGAAAAAAAGAGTGCACATTTGTGCTGTTCCCGGGATTTAATAAGATTATTAGAAAACTAAATGTTATGCAGAGTTTTGGAAAAGAAAATTATGTGATGTTAAGAAAAGCAAAATCAGAATACAGGAAAATAGAAAAAGGGGGAAATGATTCTATCAACTTCATAATAGATCAAAAATTGTTATACACAAACATACACACTTGATAACATATGTACACGGCAACACACACCCTTATGGAATGTGTCAGAGCTAGCTTCCTTCTTTAAATAGCTAATAGGTACCTGAAATTCCAGATCTCATCTCTCTAGTTAGTTGATTAACCTGCTAAGAAAAACAAGATCCTAATGCATGCTGCAGCATGTTTAATTACCCTTTGTAGCCATTTTTATAATTGTCATGTTTTTCTGCAGTGAAGTACATGATGGAGAAAATTCTTTTTTTAACACCATTGCTTCAATGCGCAGGGAATAGCTGAAAATAAGCAAAATAGATTTTAGAATTGCGATGCAAGAGATAGTGAATTTAGGGTGAATAACAAGAATTGAACATCTCCTTACTTTGGCACCTGGATTAGCATATACATAAATGAATCTGCTTGACACAGTTTTGATAGATCGCCACTGAAATCCTTTAATTTCTTTACCTGGGGGGAGGGCGGAATAAAGAAAATAAATAGATCAGAATCGAAGCAAAACGTTAAAAACAGTGAATTTAAGAGTCACCACAGTAAAAAAAAAATGAAGTTAATATGAAAATAGTATATGCCATGACCACACTATTTAATATTTGGATTGGAAAATAGGTTATGAGATACTATTATCTAAACTTCTCGACTATTATTAAGGGGTAAAGAAATGATACCAAGGACTACACTTTTTGTCAAGAAGTGTCCAGGGCAGAAAAAAGAGGTGATGTGTCCGATTGTTGCTTCCCACATCTTGCTGTAACATCTAATTCCAGCTCAGGATGCTTTGTTTAATATTGTTGCAAATGATGATAGCATTCACCAATATTATCTGTGCTGAGTAAAATAACTTTCCCACTCTTATGTCTCCAAATCTATGAAAATATGGTGTAAAAGTTCAAAACAAGCAACTGTCCTTCTAGGAAAAACACATTCTCCTTTTTCACAATAAATAAATTAATTTGACTTCTTATAATCACTGAAAAAAATTCTGTTTAGTAAACATCAGATATAGAGAAGTCTTCCAAATCTTTGCCCAAATGCAGAATAATGTACATACACCTGGATGTTAGCAGCATTCAATGCTATAAAATAGCATGACAGCTTGCCAACTCATTAGCACATAAATAATTAAAAAACAAGTTGTGTCTCATTTCTCTCTCTACGTTTCTCCTTTAGGAGGGCAATTCTTGGCCTCTATTCAAATGAGATGTTTCTTTCATTAAGGATTTCTTTCCCTTGACATAGTTTAGAGTCTAAGGGTGGATTTATCATGAAGAGAAAACTATTTTTAAACTAAATAAAATTCCACAATTTGCAGGTGGCTTTGCCAATAGGTATTACTAGCCGTTTAGAGGAAGAGCTGTCATATACCATGGTATTTGCCTGAAACCTATTGCAAATAATGGAATTTGTAATTCAAACATTTAAAGAGCATCAGATTGAAGAATACTATCTGGCTTAAAAGATATTTCTAAATTTACAGCACGTTTAAAAAATTCTGTAGCAATTAACAATTACTATACTGCAGAGACAATAACAAAATCACTCCCACATACTATGTAAATGAATGCAAACATATTATGTGTAAGTATTTATGAGACTCATCTGAATACACAGATTCTTTACATATATGGCACTGTAAAAACAATGCACTTGCTAAAAACAAGGTTATCATTTTTGTGAAGTAAAATTACGATCGCAACTGACAACAGTGATGTGAGAAAGTTTGCGAACTTTTCTATCATCTCTGTCACTGGTTACAATTAGAGGTATTTTGATCCATTCCTCTCTACAAAACTGCTTTAACTCATTAAGTTAAAGTAAGATTGTCTTACATGAATCTCTCTCTTTGGGTCATGCCACAATGTATGTCAGGGGTGTTAAGCTCAAGTTTAGTTTAGTTTTATTAAACTTGTATGCCGCCCTATTCCCCGAGGGGACTCAAGGCGACTAACAAACTAAATAG